TGTCTTCTGGGAAACATGTAAGTATCTTCTGTAGCTTCTAAAGGGCAGTACTAAATAAGAAATATGATAAATGTACACAAAATAAGAAAAATGTACACATCTTCATTCTGTTCAAAAGTTTACACCCCTTGCTCTTAATGCATCGTTTTTTTCTTTCTGGAGAATCAGTGACCATTTGATCCTTTTGTAATAGTTGCGTATGAGTCCCTCTCAGTTGTCCTCAGTGTGAAAAGATGGATCTCAAAATCATACAACAAACAAACAAGTATTAAGGTAACAACACAGTATTAAGAATCAAGCGTACGTAAACTTTTGAACAGGGTCATTTTTATAAATTCAACAATCATTTTCTCTTGTGGACTATATGTAAACGTCTTTTATGTGAAATATCTTATTCAGGTCAGTACTAAATAAAAAAAATAACATGCATTTTGTATGATCCCTCTTATTTTGGTAAAATAATTAACATTTTTAACATACACTGCAAAGTTTTGACTTTTTCAAACTTTTGACCACAACTGGACACACCTACACAGACACATATATTCAGTACACACACATGCACGCATGCACGCACGCACACACACACACACACACACACACACACACACACACACTATATACAACAATAATAACTCATGCTCTAATAACTTACAAGATGCTCTGACAACCTGAGAAGCTCAAAAAGAACATGCTTACATTAATGTTGATCTCACATCTGTGACCGGTCCATCCAACCTCACACTGACAGCTGTATGCATCAGTTTCATCCAGGCAACTGCAATGACAAAAGAGATTGTTTATGTGCCCTGACATGTGCAAATTCTGCATTCATTATTTATGATTTATGAGAGATGATTTTACATGTCGATGAAGCTGCAACCTCAACCACATTTACCTGCACAGTGATTTCTGACAGAGGTTTTACAGTGCAGTACATAAACACACCAGAACAGCAGGACTAATAAAACAACAATCTTGTATAAATGATTTTCATAAGTGAGGGTCTTGAAAATAATATATAGTCAGTTCATATTATAAATGTTAGAAAGTCATGTTGTACATGCCACTGCAACTCTCACACTCCTGCTGTCTTGATAAAGTCACAATGATGGTTAATTAATGTGCAAGTGCAACATTTACTAGGTTGTGATTAAATAGCTAATTTCCCGGTTTAACAGCTAATGTCGGGTGACAACACGTATCTTTTATCCACCCTAAAAACTCATAAGCAGTAAAATGGCATTATAAAATTTAAAGATGCATCTATTTATAAACCAGTGCATGTTTATCTGCATGAACTATGTCCCCTTTCATTTCTAGATTTTACAGGGCTCAACAATAAAGATGGCCCAGGGACAGAGTGACAGTTTTGACAAGCCAGCACAGACATTTATTGATCACATACATGTTTTTTTTTTGTTGGTTGTGTCTGATGTATTGCATATTATTACATCAATCATCTGAGATTTATTCTATCATTGCTAAGTACAAATCTGAACTACTTCTACCTGGACAGTAGAAAAAAATATTCTTATTGTTGAGTACTTTTATATTCCTTATTTTTACCATGATAACATGCAGTCTACAACATATAAACACTTCAAAATAACAAAGCTGAGACGTTTCCCAAGTACGGTTCCTGAGGGAAAAATCTGTCCTACCCAAACTGTTACTATTTAAGGCATTAGCACTTTATTTAAAATCAAATTATTATTGTAACTTGGTTAGATGCTCAAAGTGCAAGAAACAGCTGGTAACATCTAATTATGTTGTGTTTACTGAGTACCAGACTGCCAAACAGCTAATTGAGAGTGAGTTGGCAAGAAGGATTGCGAGCACATTTAGTCTTTTAAAAGACTCACAGGTACCGTCTCTTTCAGAATGGATGTGATGGCCATTTACAAAGCTCTCAATCACAGAGCTTGAAATACACATCGTTACAGCTCAGCAAGGTTAATGTACCTCCCATGAACACAGGGGTTGGATGAGCACTCATCAATGTTTCTCTCACAGTGATAGCCCATGAAACCTCTGGAGCACACACACTGGTAACCATTAAGACCGTCGATGCACCTCCCGTTGTTTCGGCATGGATTAGATTTGCACTCATCAACGTTCAGCTCGCACAATTTACCTTTGGGGAGAACAAAATCAATGCCATATAAATACATTACATTGAGTATTTAGAAATTCTTGGAAATCAAGGTGATGGATTTATTAAACGCCATGTCTGATATCAAGGTGAAAAAATGCATAAAGGTACTTGCATTCAAGGACCTTGGCATTGGTAGCATTGTGTTTCACTTGTCTAACTACAGAAAACATTATACATTTGTATAAGCATAAAAAAAGTGCATAAACAAAATGTATTTTTGTATTCTAGCTAAATAAAAACATATTTGATCGTCTACTTATGTTTCAAACTGTTTCAAACAATGTATGAGCTATTTTCCATGTCTTCTGAAGTCATAGTTTTGTGCGAAAATGACCAAATTTAAAATTCATTTTATATTTATTGTAAAACCAATCCAGAATATATCCTCCAGCCTGAGCTCTCAGGGGACATGTCCAATTCCTCAGATGAGCTCAGAGCTGAGAGGAAAGTAATGACTGGTGCAAGGCAGAGTGGGGCCTGATAATAAAAGAGGTTTCTGTGGGAATTAGGGCCTGTGTGTCAGGCTGAGCTCTCCCAGGAGTTTCCATGCCTCTGAGATTTCTTTCTTTCCCCTCAGCAGGATGAGGATAAATTGATGATACAGTACAAAAGACAAACGAAATTAATCTTCAAGCCGGTTGATGGCGATTGAGATTACACTTATTTTTAAAACAGCATTGATAAGTGGGCTAGCAGAGTAATGGCCTTAGTATTCGTAGGTGATTGTACATAAACTGAGGTTCTAGCACACATGCGTTTAGATGCAATAGATACTGACATGTATAATGTCAATGTATTGACGTATCTAAAGTGTAAAATATTGTATGTACAGTATGTACAAAGGTGCAAATGTTTAATCTTTCCCAGTAGGCTGATTCTATTTTATTTATAAAAAAAGAAAACAATTAAAGAGCAATGTAATACTTGTTGAGCTTTTATAATACCATTCAAACGTTTAAGGTCTAAATTATAATTTTTTCCATCGAGACTGCATTTATTTGATTAAAAATACAGTAAAAACAGGAATATTTTGAAATATTATTGCAAATTGAAACAAATTTTCTATTTTAATGCATTTTAAGATATGATTTATTCCTGTAATGGTAAAGCTGAATTTTCAGCATCATTATTCCAGACTAATGTCAGACTCTGTTCCGTGTTTTGTGTGGGTTTTGCTCCCCATGTGTTTCCATGCCCTTATTTGGTTTTCCTGTTCCTGCTGCCTGATTGTTTACCATTTGTTTCCAGCTGTGTTTTCCCTCATGTTATTATGTTTCATTAGTTCCAGGTGTTTCTCGTCATGTCTTGTGTATTTAAAGTGTTCCCGGTTCTTAGTTCTTGGTCTGGTATTGTATGTGTCAACCTTCTCAGCTACGTGTGTTTTCTTGGTTCCTTTGAAGTCATTAAAATCTCCTTATTGATGTAATCTTCGTCTCCTCGTTCCTTGCTCCGTGCTCCAACACAGTAGCAACGTGACAGAATACCAGACCAGTAAGCGGCGCCCCTTCTCCCCATGTTTGTTTTTTGTTTTGAAAGTCTTTTGTTTTCCTGTGTGTTTCTCCCCACGGCATAGAAGTAGATGCTCGTTTTATTGGCCTAGCCCACAGAGATCTCCCCTTCGTGGAGTATGTGTGGGACTTCAGCAAGATCGCCTCAAAAACAGCGCTGGATGACGCCACGCTCATCTCTCTGTTCTGGATCGGGGCCAATTGCTATCGCCCCGTGGACCTCCCAGACACCACAATCCAGTGTCGGCTCCAGCCCCAGAGCTCGAGTTTAGCCCAGAGAGGGCTCCAGTCCCCTAGTTTAGCCCAGTAAAGGTTACTGTCCCCGAGTTTAGCCCAGAGAAGATTCCAGTCCCCGAGTTTAGCCCAGAGAGGATTCCGCTTCCCGAGTTTAGCTCAGAGAGGATTCCAGTCCCCGAGTTTAGCCCAGAGAGGGCTTCAATCCTCGAGTTTAGCCCAGAGAGGGCTCCAATCCCCGAGTCTAGCCCGGAGAGGGTCCCAATCCCCGAGTCTAGCCCAGAGAGGGCTCCAATTCCCGAGTTTAGTCCAGAGAAGGCTCCAGTCCCCGAGTTTAGCCCAGTGAGGGCTCCTGTCCCCGAGTTTAGCCCACAGAGGGCTCCTGTCCTCGAGTCTAGCCCAGAGAGGGCTCCAGTCCCCGAGTTTAGCCCAGTGAGGGCTCCTGTCTCCAAATTTAGCCCAATGAGGGCTCCTGTCCCCGGGTTTAGCCCAGTGAGGGCTCCTGTCCCCGAGTGTAGCACAAGGAAGGCTCCAGTTCCCATGTCCAGCCCAAGGAGGGCTCCAGTTCCCACGTCCAGCTCAAGGAGGGCTCCAGTCCCCAAGTCAAGCCCAGGGAGGGCCACAGTTCCCGAGTTAGGCCTACAGAGGGCCACTAAAGACTATATTCTCCCGAAGGATTTTTTGGGGGGAGGGGGGGTTGGGGGGTAGTAGGGGTCCATCTGTGGAGGCCGGGCCCAGTGCTGAGGCCAGGCTCCCCGAGGTTCCTGTTCCACCATGGCCTCCTGAACTGACTGCTCCGCCATGGCTTCCTAGTCTGCCTGTTCCGCCATGGCCTCCTGAACTGTCTGCTCCACCATGGCCTCCTGAACTGTCTGCTCCGCCATGGCCTCCTGAACTGTCTGCGCCGCCATGGCTTCCTAGTCTGCCTGCTCCGCAATGGCTTCCTAGTCTGCCTGCTCCACCATGGCGCCCCGAACTGCCTGCTCCGGCAGAGCTCCCTGCTCCGCCATGGCATTCTGCACTGCCTGATCCACCCTGGAGATATTCCCCGTGTCCCAGTCCTGCACCAACCTCCAGGGCACCCACCCCCCCTCCTTGGTGGAATTGTTACGGCACGGGACACGCCTTCTGGGAGGGGGGAGTAATGTCAGACTCTGTTCTGTGTTTTGTGTGGGTTTTGCTCCCCATGTGTTTCCATGCCCTTATTTGGTTTTCCTGTTCCTGCCCCCTGATTGTTTTCCATTTGTTTCCAGCTGTGTTTTCCCTCATGTTATGTTTCGTTAGTTCCAGGTGTTTCTCGTCATGTCTTGTGTATTTAAAGTGTTCCCGGTTCTTAGTCTAGTATTGTATGTGTCAACCTTCTCAGCTACGTGTGTTTTCCTGGTTCCCTTGAAGTCATTAACATTTCCTTATTGATGTACTCTTCGTTTCCTCGCTCTGCGCTCCAACACAGTAGCAACGTGACATCTTCGTTGCCACTTGATCCTTCAGAAATTATTCTAATATGCTTATTTGGTCCCTTAATGCATCCTTGCTGAATACAAGTGTTAATTTCTTAATTATAAATGCTTACTGACCTCAATCAAATAACATATTTATTGAAAAACAAATGACCTAAAAATAATAAATAAATAAACATAAATGAGCTAACATCTAAATTAAATTATTTTAATCAAGAAAAATATAACATTATTAATGCCAAGACGCATAACATTGATCACTCCACGCCGAGATGGAGCTCTAGCCCCAGTCCACCCTGGGATTGTGATGCACCAGCCAGGGTTGGCCCAGCATGACAGGAGCCAGCGGAGATTCAGTGAGCAGAAGTGTGAGTTTCTCAATATGATTTCCTGAGGTGATGAGGGTGACAGGTTCAGTAGTATGTGTGATGCTAGGAAGAGCCTGTCCGTTGAGTGCACTGACAGAGATAATATGGGTTAGAGGAACAATGGGCATCTGAAGGTGTTGTGCTAAGTTGTAGTCCATAAAGTTACCTTCAGCTCCGGAATCCAGCAGGGCCTGGCAGTTGTGGATTCCGGCTGCCCATTGCAGTCTTACCGGGAGGAGAGTTGAGGACGAGGATTTTCCCAGGGACAATCCACCCGACAGTAACCTCAGCTCTACTGCCGGGCTTGGCCTTTTACCTGACAGTCAGCCAGGAAGTGACCCGCAGCGCCGCAATACAAACACAGTCCCCTTGCTCTCCGACGGTCTCTCTCCTCCCGGGAAAGCCGAGCTCTTCCCACTTGCATGGGTTCATAATCCAAGGTGTGACTGACCGTATTACAGGAACTGGTAGTGGAATACTCAGGAAGTTCCGACGCCAGCTGGCGGCGTCCTCGCTGACCACGTTGATGCAGACGGGCATCTACTCGAAGAGCTAATTCGATGAGTCCATCAAGATCAGTGGGTAATGCCATCGTAAAAATCTCCTTCTGAATCCGGTCAGCCAACCCATGCAGGAACATGTCCCACTGCGCCTCCTCGTTCCACTTGCACTCAGCTGCCAGTGTCCGGAACTCAATGGAATAATCCGAGATGGGTCTGTTCTCCTGCCGTAGTTCGGCTAACATGCATGCCGCCTCGCGACCCGCTACAGCGCGATCAAACACCCGTCTCATCTCCTCCGAGAGTTTGGTGGGCGATCTTAGTTGTTGGAATTGGGTCGTGAGCTCGGACACCTGCGCTACCAAGGCTTGCACAGCTCGACCCATAGCTAACATCCGTTCCTCTTGACGATCCATGCATGCGTTGTTGTTAGACAAAAAGTCCCGTAGATCCGAGGCGTTCGCTGAATCCATAGGTAGGTCAGATCGTTCTGTCACGGGTACAAAAGGAGGATTCAATCGCGAAGCGAAAATGAGTCAGTGAACCCATGAACCGTGACAGATAGAGCAGGAAGAAACAGCTCCTTAAGGTAACAATTTCAGTTTACCACTTACCACAGTATTTAGAGAGTGCAAACTTTACTTTTTTTTAATCCCATCTGGATTTCATTCATAAGAAAATTTGGCATTTAAAAAAATCTTTATCCTTTTTAATCTTCCATCATTTACTACTAATAAACAACAGCCAGGATATAGGTTTGTTTCTGAGTACTAAACTTACTCACCTGTCAAGTTCAGTTCTGTCCAGTTTTCAGAAGATTCGTAAAGATTGTATGTTTATAAAGTTTTTACATTTTAGATGCTTTCAATATGTTGACATTGTATAATTCAGTGCCTATGCAAACATACAAAAATTAATAAATGTCCACGAATAAGAATGAGATCACCCCGGGGAAAGAGGAAAATAGCGAAAGAAAAAAAGGACTGAGGAGATGAGGAAGTACTTGATTAAAATGCAGAGGATGAGGGGGAGGTGTTTAGTTAACTCAAGGTGAATCTCTGTGTGTGTGTGTGTGTAGATATTGGTGGGAGTGTGGGATCTAATTAAAGTGGTAAATGTGCTGATGAGCTATTTGTGTGTTCTTTCCACTGAGAATCTGTCAGGCTGGGGGAACGCAGCCCGTGTAGACACGATAAGCCCTGGTTTCTCTCATTGATTTTGTGTCTGGGGCTCTGGCCGAGGGGGACGTACCTGAGAAGCCACTATGGCAGACACATATGAATCCCCCAGGTTTGTTGATGCACACAGAGTCATGGAGGCAGGGGGAAGCTTCACATTCGTTTATGTCCAGGTTGCAAAACTTTCCAAAATATCCGGGGACACAGTTACACTGGAAACTGGAAATGCACAAAAATAACATTATTAGCCAAATCTTCCTTTTAAAATCCCTGGCTGTGACACAGATGTCTGCCAAACAAAATGGTGCCATATCTGCATGGAGTGTTTTTAGGAAAACTGACAGACAGGGAAAAGTCTGATTGACAGCAAAAGATCTAAACTGTGTCTGTTAATCATGACTTTGGCTGCTGCTATCATCGGACAAAATGACTGACAAGCTGACTCTGTTTCAAACATGCTGTCACCTGTCTAATCGGTGAGGACTTGGCCAGTAAGTGGTTTTGTGATGGAAGAGATCTCTTGTAGCATATATTCACAATTTAATAGGGCATTTTGTTTCCAGCTGTGATTTTTTTGCTGGCTTGTTTTGTTCACTTTAGTGTTCTTTTTTATATTTTCTCTTAATTCTGTACAGTATGTTCTGCTGGGCTTAGTACATTATGTATTTAAAGAGATTTTTCCTTGATCTTTTGAAATAAAAGTGTTTAATGCACCATTAAAAAAATATGATATAACTTTAAGATCTCCATTTACTGAACCCTGCTGGCACTTTTTTTTAACAACAATGGCTGGAATTTACTTCTGTAAATAATGACATATACATTATATATAAACACCACCACATTTTTTAACGATTCATTTACATTTACATTTATTCATTTTGCGGATGCTTTTATCCAAAGCGACTTACAATTGAGGAATACAACAAGCGATTCTTCACAGGAAGTGCTTGTAATACAAAGTTTCAGACCTTGTTCAGATTAGTACAAGTACTAGACAGGGGGGATTAAGGAAACGGGGGGTGATTTAAAAAAAAAATGTTTTTAAAGATGCAGTCAAATTTTGATGAAAGAGATGAGTTTTCAATTGTCGTCATTCAGCATTCTGGATGGGGGTGGGAAGATCATTCCACCAGCCATGAACGGTGAATGAAAACATTCTGGAAAGTGATTTTGTGTCTCTCTGTGATGGTATCACGAGGCATCGCTCACTTGTAGATCTCAAGCTTCTGGAGGGGATGTAGATTCGTAAGATTGAGTAGAAGGAGGGTGCTGAGCCTGTGACTGTTCTATATGCAAGCATCAATGTCTTGAACTTGATGCGAGCCGAAACCAGTAGCCAGTAAAGGGAGATAAAGAGATGTGTGATGTGGGCCCTTTTGGGCTCGTTGAAGATCAGTCGAGCTGCTGCATTCTGAATCAAAATAATGATTCAAAATAAATGTCACAAAGAAATTTGAGCCTTTGAGTGTTCATTCAAAAGATAGGACAGCATCACCTATATCAGATCTAACAGCACACTGCATCCCAAGTATAGAAAAACACTGTTAACGGCTATTTACATGAAACACATTCTGTGCTGAGTCTATATCAGGGATTCTCAAACTTTTCCCAAACCTTTATGTTTTATGCAGGTACAAAAAAATAAAATAAAAAACTTTTTAGTATGTGTTTTAGTTTGGTTTTATTTAAAAAATATTTTTTTTTCATTTTTGTATAATTATTTACTTTATCAAATCCTGCAGTTTCTGGGGGGGGGGGGGGGG